CCCCAAAACCCCAAAACCCCAAAACCCCTCATAGAATTTAATCTAAAATAACAATATATTAGATGTAAGATTCAATTCTAATTAATTAGAAGTACTGATATGTAGTCATTGTTAATTAACTGTTTGATATCTGACCATGTATTTCATAAATTTCCTACTAGACTTAAGGGTCCGCTTGCTTTTGTTCAATATTAAAGCCTTAAACTGCTTAATTATAGTTTAAGTCTGATCTTCATTATTGCCATTTTAGCCTCCATTTTAAACTTCACTGATTTCATCGTTGTCATCCTCTTCTTATTCTCCTTCATCTGTATCTAATTCTTCTTAGGAGTAATTCTCTTCTGATGGTTTATCATGACTTTTAAGATTTTCTTGTTAATCCTAATTTAATTATTAACTTGCCTAGCTCTATTGGCTATTCTAGGTTTGATTATCTTTTCTAACTGAAGTTGCAGTTCTTAGAGGTATCTTATCTTAAGAACTTTCATCTGATTCTATCTAGTTTTGATAGTTATCCTTAGGCTTTCTCAGGAATTTAGTAACATCTAAATCTTCATTATCAGACTAAGATGCTTTCTTTTCATTTTTATTATCTTCCTACGTAGCTTGACTCTATTCATCATCGTCGCCTTCATCCTCAGAAGCAGGTTCTCCGAATTGCCTTACTTTTTACGCACTCTTCTATAGCAACTAATGCTATTATGATACGATAAACTGAGATCTGATGTCTTGAGTTGTCGGGAAGTTGTTATTGACAACACTCTGAGACTCAATAAATTAATTATTCTAGGTTTCGCACATTACTGACTAGGTAATGCTTGGATTGCAATCTATATCCTCCAGACCGCTAACCGCTCTCTTGTGAGATTTCTCCTCACCTTGAACTCTGATTTATTACCTGCCATTAACTGTCTTTAACCACCTGCTTGCTATGTCCATGTGCTCTATTTTATTCTTATAGTTTAGCAAGCAAAGATGAGCGCATGGGAACCCAGAGTGGGAGAATTCATGGCACTCGCATGTTCCTGTTTTCAAGTTTTAAGGAGTTGTTGTCTTTCTAATGTAAAACGTGGTTGGCTGCCAAGGCTTTTTATTCGGCATGTTAGATGGCTTTAGTTAAACTATAAAGTTATCATCTGTTTCCTCTCTGATTTCAAATCTAAATGCTTTAGCTATATTCCATTTGATTTTCTGGAATGCATACAACGTGTAGTGCTCCTTTACTTTAGAATTGAGAAAATGTGCTACTCTGAAAATTTGCTCATGCTTAGGTGATACTTTTTAGAACTCGTTAGAGAGCTTAAACTCTTTTTAATCTATAGTCAACAGCCTCTTTAGTGCCTCTTAGACAGCACATTCTTTTTTCTTAAGTGCAGGCTTCAGATACAATTTAATTTGATCATTCCTCTGGGTAGCACAAATACCGCCAGTAAAATGCTTCAAATGTACCCACTTTGGCCATATCTTTTTTTCGATGCTAAGTTTATGAATGATAAGTTTATAGTATTCATTTGCAAAGTTAAATCTATTAACCTCTTAGATTTGCTGCTCAAATATTTGCTCATTTTCAATAATTGGAAGCTCTTAAATCTTCATGAAATCTTCTGGTCGCTCTCTTTCAAGGAATGCATACTAAGCTTTGAAAGTTTTCTAAATATGATGAAAGCAAAACAGAACTTTGGTCTTTTACATAGTATTATTTAAAGCTTAGTACAATTTTAATTGTCTTTCAATGATACATGTCTCTGGCTAGGAGTTATTCATATGCTTTAAGAAGCATTAAGCCATTCTCTAGAAATAAGAAGTTTCCTCTTTTTCAATTAAAACAATAGCCAAAAGCACAGACTTGCCAGTGTTACTCACTGTGAATATCATAACCAACGGCTTCTTGAATCTATTCTAGCTAAATCTCTTATTAATAAATATCACATCACTATTCTTAAGATACTGCTCTTTCATCTTTCCACTAGAGTAAAACAGATAGGTAATATTATTCTTATCGTTAGGGTCAAACTCTACTTCTAGGAAATCATCATTTCCCCTCTTAAGTAACCTAAGCAAATTCATGCTATCATTTTCAAAATGCTCCTTATCAATAGCAACAGCCTCCCCAGTCCATTTTCCTTTGAAATAGGTGATCTGATTCAGAGTGTATTCCATGCCAAATTTATCATAAATCAACTCTTTTAGTTCAGAAAGTGACTTTACCTTGTCATGGTACTCTTTCACATACTCTCTTATTGAGTCGTATCTTCGCTTTTCGAGTTTATGGTTATGCTTCATAAATTCCAATAAATATTCTTAATACATCAACCAGCAGCCAGACTTCTCGTCTTGCTTAAAAGTGAGAGCGAAATGGCAACTTGGATTCTAATTGTAAGTCTTCCTATCAACCCCATCAAGTGGCTCTGATCTTTTAAATGACTAGCAATAGAGCCTCAAAGTTTGACTTCCATCTGCATTTAGTTTCGGAGACCTCTTGAGCTTCACTAGGAAACCTAGACTTACTGCCCATATGTTAATTAGATCTATTAGCTGATGATAGTCATTTATCTGATTTTTATACAACAGAACCTCAAGATTATCATAGTCTATTTTCCTGACTACGTTGCAATCTGACCAGAGTTTGCCTCCATTGCATTCATCCAAATTTTCCTCAATTTTAATTTACTCTTCATTTTCTTCATCTCTTCTAACACGCTTCTTTAGAAGTGTCTTATACTGAATTCTTTCATGCTTCAAATCCTGAGACTCCAAATTATTGATCAAAGCTGAATGCTTTGACTTCTTATGCTTATCATGGTGCTTAGAAGATTTTTCGTGATTTACTTCGTTCTTTAGTTTTTGATTTTATTCCATATGAGCAAGTCTATAAGTTCTAAATATTTGATTGAAGTCTCTCAGGTGAATGCTATTAATAGCATCAAGCAAAGCCTGATTAGACTCGAGTTCCTTTTTAACTTTTATTGCCTGCTCAGGAGTCATATCAACATTCTATGGATTCATCATCTCACTTTTAACGTTTTAAGATGAAGTCTATTGCTATGAACTCGGCTATTGCAGGGGAATTATATCATCTCTGATTAATATGATAACTCTATCATCGTGGTAAAGCACTTCACTTCTTTCCACAACACCTCCATTAGTTAGTTTCATCACATACTTGTTATGATTTTCAGGTGGGATGCCCAAGTTCAGCAAGATCTTCGAGAAACTAATGTCAAACGGAACGCTCTGGTCAATTACTTCTGATTTGCAGAGAGAGCCGAAGTATACATGAATTCTTATTCTGTTTGATGTCATTTGACTCTTGACTGATCTTAAATTTGATAATTTATTTAATTAGGTTTTTGTAGTATCGCTCCAAATTTTAGCAATCGATATAAATACACACTTTAATCTTAAACTCAACTTTTACTTATATAGTTTCATGGGGTTTTGGGGTTTTGGGG